TGGCCCCGGGAGCCAGGGGTAACAAGAAGTTTGGTAAGCCCGGCTGGGAAACTGGGGGAGGGAAAGCTTGGAGACACCCCCTTCCCTCCGAAAAAAAAGCTTTTAATTTATTATGATTTGGACTACAAAGCCCAGCATCCGCTCGGCGTGGTGTGGTTGGGGGGGAGGAATCTGGGCGTCGTCGTCCCAAAAAGGAAAAAGGAAAAGAAACTTCTTCTGGAGAAAGGTTGATCTTGAAAAAAAATTGGACTACAATACCCATCAGTCTTGCCGGGGAGTGGAGGGGCGGCAAGGGGGGGCGGCAAAGGTTTGACCCACTGCCCGACACCCAGGAGGGTAAAGGCAACCCCCTTTTCACCCGTGTTTGTCTCCCTTACCTTTTCCCAGTCATCGGAGGTAGACTGTGCCTGGGCCTGGAAGTTCTGGTGGCCACCAATGGTCTTAAGAACACCACCTTTCTTCTTTTTTTTCCTGGCCAAAACATTTTAAAAGTCAACTTTTTTTTTCACCCCTCATTTCTCCAGGAGGGACACGTCTTCCCTTCAACGGATTTCTCATTATACTAAAGTTTTAATTTAAAATATTTTTTAAAACCCACCTCCTTGTTCATGCTGGGTTTGATCTGGGAACCCCCTCATTGGCTTTCCTGGCTGTCCCTCGTATCTTGCAAAGCCCTCCTCCAGCACCACCTTTCAAACAAATCCAATTTATTCCCTGTCCACTTCCTTCATCCTCCGGCTTTCACACATCCATACATGGTGATCGGGAATACAAGAGAATGGATGGTTTAAAGAAATTGGATGAATGAATGAGTGAAGCCATTTAGCCAACTCTGATTTTCTTTTTGCAGCGGGCAAGGCTCGAGGGAGAACCACCGCCAGAGTAGAACTGAAAGGGCCAGAAATCTGTAAGGACCCCGTCTTGCTCACCACCCACGCCATGGGGGTCAACATCTATAAAGATGGCCAGGAGGTAAAGCTGAAGCCGGATTCGGAATATCCAGAATGGTGAGTGGCAGAAATCGGCTTTAGAGAATTGGAGGCCTTGGCTACTCCAGTTAGGAACAACGGGCTTGGGAACCTCGTGGGGTTTATCAGGATTTGTGGATTGGACCCCCTTCCCCCCCCCTCCAAAAAAATCTGCAGGAATTCCCAGGTTCTGGCTTCTGGGTGCTTTCATCAACGTCCTGTTTCATGTTTTCATGCTGTTACAGGTCACGATTTCGGGCAGCTGTCTTCGTCCTATGGAGAAGACGGGAAATGCATTAGCTCCATGGGAGATGTAAGGGCTTATGGGCCTGCTAGATTTTTTTTCTGTGTTGAACACAGAGCACATGTTCCCTTGCAGTTTGCTCTGAGCGGAGCCCAGCCCTTCTATCACCCCTGTCTTCTCTGCAGGATGAAAATGGCTGGCCAGCATCTGAATTCATTGACCGTAAGAACATAACACCGGTCAGGCCATTGAGTATGATCCTAAGTGATGAGCGCAACATCCGTAGTATAAATGTCACGGGGGAGTAAAATCTGGAAATTGCTTTAAAGAGGTGATCGAGGCTTCTTGGTGGTCACAGTCGGTGAATTGTGTCCCCCAGAAGCACCCAAATGCTGGAACTCCCTTCCACTGGAAGCCAGCCTGGCCCCATCATTGCAATTCCTCTTTAAAAGAATTAGATATGGTCCTCTAAGACTCTGGAACTCCCTGCCACTGGATGCCAGGCTGGACCCCGTCTTGGCTGTCCTTCTGCAAGCAGGCAAAGATCTTTCTCTTCAGGCAGGCTTTCCCTGTGTGACTGGCAGCCCCGTGTGGTTTTTTTTTTTAATGGAGGGTTGTGACTTGTGGCTTTAAAACGTGTGTTTGGTGTCTATGTTGTATACCAATTTTAGCGCGAAATTTGTTTCTTTCTTTTTAAAAATATCCATATATACTTCCTGGGTTTTTTTGCTTTTGAATCTGGTCTTTTTAATGACATGAGCCACTTTGGGTCCTTTTTAAGGAGAAAGGCGGGTAAACACATTTTAAAGAAATAAAAATTCTTCCAGGCTTTTCAACGTCCATATTGGGCCCCCCAAGAAGCTTGACGAGTTGGATCCGGACACCCTTCAATATTGGCGTCATCTACGGAAACTCAACACATGGCATGAGATCAAAGTGAGGAACAGACGCCGTTGAAACCGAGAGATGGTTTTTGAGATGGATCAGTCATCATTCTTTCTCTCTCTGATCATAAATGTTGACCCTCAACCCTGCAGAGGCATTCCCGTGTTTTGCCCATAATAAATGAATAATAAAAGCACACTCAATTCTTGTTTTTATTCACTGATCTAGAAGTTAGTAATGGTAGTATTTTAATTTTATAACCCATATTGATGCAGAAGCCTAAATTCACTTTTTGCACATGAAATTTGCAATTAATCTGGGCAATATTTTAATGTTTTAATTTTAATATTTTAATTTTATGAAGAAGCATAAGTAGATGCTGGAAAATTAAAATATTGCACTCACTGATGGTAAACTACCTGTGTTAAAAAGTGAATAAAGATAAAGTTCAAAAAAGACTAATAAAAAAAGTACCGGTACAGTAATAATAATGTGACCTAAAAAAAGCCCAATTCAGTCCCTGAATATCGCACGAGATTGTCACTCTTTTGGCCTTATCTCTATAGTCGCTCTCACGGGTTTTCTGCCCGTTCGCATAGAAACAGGGGAGGGAAGACCACAGAGATGAGCTCTGGGAAGCATAGAACGTCCTGGCACGCCGGTTGGCGGCCATAGGCCACGTTGGAAATAACGGCCATAGAAACTAGGCCTGGGGAGCCTAGAGTGCCTTGGGGGGGGCGGCGACTGTGATCGGCTTTGCTCTCCTCTTGAATCCGGAAGTGGGAGGCCCGGAAGGCGGAAGAGCAGGCAAAAGGGGGAGTGGCCCGAGGAGGGGCGTGGCCTGTAGGGAGGGTGAGGGTTAGGCGGTGGAGAGGAAGACGAGGCGGAGGAGGGAGGAGGAAAAACAGGTGAGGCCAAAACGAGGGGGGAAGGGCAAAATGGAGGGAGGGGGATACAGGTTTAGGGAGGGGACCCTCTATTTACGGGCGGTGAGGGAGGGGGGCTTGAC